TGTGGGTTTTTTCTTTCTCTTTTGCAGACTGACACGGCCTCTGTATTGTCAGAAGCCATTGGGTACATTAGATTCCTTCAGAGTCAAATTGAGGTGATGTTTCTCTTTCCTTTTTCTTTTTTGCAAACAACCATGAACCAGCAGTGACAGTGATAGCACACTGTTTCAAAGTCTCAAATTAATTCCTTTAGTTTTTCAACTACTTTACTGATCAATAGATATATTCCTTCTCCATAAATACAGGCTCTCAGCTTACCCTACTTGGGCAATGGATCGGCAAGCATGAAGCAGCAACAGTCTGTAAGTAAATAAATCCCTCTGCATCTGAGGAGCAAGGTGGTGTTTATTGATAAATGATTACCATAAAATATTTTGTTTAGGTTAAAGGGGAAGACCCTTGTCAGGTAATAATTAAGCTTTATTGGATCCATTACCTCAAAGGAACTTGGAGGGAAACTAGTAGTGAAAACTTGGATTTTGAAAAGGAAGAAAAGAAAAGCTTAATACCCATAAAGACATGCATTGTTTAAAGAACATTAATGTTCAGCTTTATAGCTAGCTTTACACTTTATTTATTTATTGGGATTTGAAGGATTGCAAGGAAGAAGCAAACAAGGATCTGAGGAGTAGAGGGCTGTGCTTGGTTCCGGTTTCATGCACACTTGAAGTATGGAGTGGTGACAATGGAGCTGATTACTGGGCTCCTCCACCTGCTCTGGGCGCCGGATTCTTCCGATAGATAATTAGGCTTATTTTTCATTGATATAGCATCACGAGCAGTCACTCTGCTAATTCAAAAAAAAGCTTGTAAGGCTGATTGCTCATGATGCTATACAACATGTTCCTTCTTTGGACTATTTCGTCTAGCATGTTGCGTACTAAGCCATAGCCTAGTGATTTTTAAGAACAATCTCTATCTAATTTACTACTACTAATTAAGATGTAAGCTTAGCTGCTAAAGTCTTACTTCTACTTATATGTATATCTGTTAGTATGAATTTGTTGGATCTTTAATATGTGATTTTGAATTATTTTATTTAAAGATCGCATGAAGTACAAAATTAAAAAAATATTATTATAATATTAATTTTTATTTAAATAAATTGTATTCAAGTTATTTATCAATTAATTTTAGTATATTTATCCGGGATATCAATTCAATTAAAATTTAATAAAAATATAAATATATAGACAGATATTACAGTGATCACAAGAATCCAGGTGACGAGGTGTCCAATTTTGACAGTAGGATTCAATACAAGAAAGAAACTACATCATTAAAATTGGACATAGTCGATTCAACCACAAATCACAGATATTTGCCTTTTTTTTACAATAATTTTCAAAGTAGGGCACGTGCCATGCGTCAATGATTATGTCTCATGTGGCGCATGCTTGGTCTCGTGTCAACATAATAGATGTTATTTGTTGGCATAGCATAGTAATATTTGTCTTATCCTCAATAAACATGTTTTTTCTTTTTCTTTTTCTTTTCCCTAGACCCAAGTAAATAGACAAATATTGGTGCACCAGACGTGTACATGTATACAAAAACAAATGCATTTTTTAAGAGGGGTACAATTGTATAAAGTATATTATTCAACATTGGTCGAATACAATAGTTAAGTTGTTAATTTAGTTAATACTGATATATTTTTAGCAGAATATTCTAATTTTCTAAACAATATTTAAATATAATTACATGTTCTTTTTATTATCTAGAAGGGTGATATCGCCATCCGTATTCTGCTATAACTCTTGTGGTTTATTCTTTCAGTTTTTTTATTTAATTTAATTTAATTTTTCTTTTTATTATTTTATTTTCATAAAACTGATGGATGCTTTTCTTTCTTAACATGTTTGATATACTTCTATAGCACATTTTTCTTATTTTTATAACATATTTTTAAAGTTTGATTTGATGATTGATTCTCTCATGGGTGTTTATTTGATTATCTTATTAGTCTATCTATACTTTAAATCATTATAATGACTCTCTTTTATTGGTAGACACTTACGATCATCAAAGATAAATCACAATAGAGTTGTGATAAAAGTAATCTGTTAAAGTGTTATCGTTGTTATACGTATTTTTATATTAATATTGATGATGTTTATCCTTTATTGTCGATGATATTATTTATTTGTATTAATCATCTATTCTAATCGTCTGGTTATATATGTTTTTTTGGGTCCATTGCCCGCTTTTGCAAGCCTAACATTGAACTTAATTAATTAGCTCCTCTTCTGTCAACCCGATCCACTAGGGAATCTCAAGTCGTTAAACAAAAGCAAGGCACGGTAAATTAATCGTTGACAAATACGTATATAATTAGACTTTTAAGTAGCATATCAGAAGCCTCTTACTAACGCATGCATTATTTCCTTCAATTTTTGAACACATCAAAATTTACCCATTAGTTAATTAATATAGGTGATATTTTAAATTATTCGTTTTCGTTGTTGGAATAGGGAAAGAGGTTGCCCAATCTAAACCTGACGACAAATGGAATAGCCGAGGCAACTGCAACTTTCAGCTGCCAGGCCCGGGCGATGGTGAGTGGAAGCAGTGCAAGTACGCTAGAAGCGCGTTTCAGTGAGGCCGGCATGGGGGGCTTTTTTTTTGAAAACCGGCATGGGGGGGTTAATAGTAAGTAATAGGGGCTCTGCCTCTTCGTCCTTTCTTTTTCTTTTGTTTTGCATGATTTTAACTTCATTTTTAATTACCTTTTTAACATGTGCAGCCGAAATGTTGATCTTTTCAAACGCTCAAGTTTCAGTGTCAGAGGACTGATCGGTCATTTTAAATGGGCCGTCCCATTGTCGCCATCACAAAGATTTAGGTATTTCAATATGGAAAACCATGCACCAAAAACCTCTCTCTGACCCTTTTACTCAGACTTAGTCCCTATAGTTAATCAGTATCGACGCCGCTCCGCCAAGGGAACCGCCGGCACTACGTCGACCCAAATCCTCCATCATATCACCGCCTTCACCTCCAAAATCCTCTCCCAATCTGAGCTCCGCCGCAAAATTTTCTCCGCCCTACGATGCAAGCTTTTACCCTCCGATCAACTCACACTCAAACCCTTAAACCTCGCCGTTGAAACTCTAGAAAACGCCATTTCCGCCCCCAATGCCTCCATGCAATCCTCTTCTTTCCGTCTTGCTCAGAAGATCCTCGTTTCCTATCCCGAAACCGCCTACTCTTCTTTCCTTCTATCCCTCATTTACTCTCTCCAACGGTTCAATGAACAAAGATTAATCATCCTGTCATCGTCATCGCAAAATGGGAATCAAGGAGCTGATGATTATTCCATGTGTGATGTATCGGTGGTGGTTCCATGCTCCAAACTGTTGTCACAAATGAGTGGTGATCAAGCTCTGGAGTTGAAAGAATATGAAAGAAAATACGAAGCGGTTCTGGATGAGAATTGCAGGGCTTTTGCCGAGTATTTCAAAGAGGTTTTACAGAATTCTGATGAAAGCAGATCGATTAATCCTCTGGAGTTGGTGTTTAAACAAACGGACAACGGTGAAGGGCTGGACTACCATGAAGATGTGAAAATCAAAACCAAGGATTGAAAAGCGGACAATATAATGTAATATTGCCGCAGCCTTTAATTATCCAATTTCTTGATTTTCATATATTTTCAATTAGGTAAATTGATTTATCTTGGAAAAAGAGGAACCATTTAATTCTGATTAATTTTGAAAATGATGAGTCGAAAATAAATAATTTGAAAACGAATAATTAACTACAATATTAATAATACTAGATCAACTTCAAAATTAAGCCTAAATTTTCTGGTTTTTTTAATGAAACCATTTGTTTGTTATTATTTATCTTTCACTGCATTTGTGCTTAGATCTTTGAAATTTTCCTCTGGTGATTTGTTGTGACACTTTCTAGTCTATGCTTCATTTGTTCGTATACATACATATAATTGAATAAGTCTAGCAATTAGAATACTATGCAAAAGGAAAAACAAGACTTGGCACAATTTTCTAATATAATTCTACATTTTTTATAATTTATACACATAATATTATTATTTATTTATTTTGATAGATATAATTCTATTATTTATTATATCGTTAGTTAGCAAAAAAAAAAAAACTCTAAACAGACAATTGTCATAATTTTAACGTTACGTCCGAAAATAGTTTTTACTAATAATTTATCAAATACCAATTTAAATAATATTTTGAAATTAAAGTTAAAATTATAATTTAACAATCTAAATGGTACAAAATTTCTAAACTAGTAGTTTAAATATTATATAAGAAACGCTAAATTAGGAGGAACGAAAGCTAAAATACTTGTTGGGCATAGTGATTGAATGATTGGAAATGGCTGCATCTTCCAACTTGCAGAGAAAATGATTATTTAATGATTATGACATTTTCTACACCACATTTTATGGATATCAATATTGTATCATTTTCTGGCTGATGGATGCATCTAAAGTCGTCAACTTAAAGGGTGTGAAAAGCGTTACTTGTCTGAAATCTGAATTCATTCTTAGCTGACTCCAGTTTGTTGCTGTATCGTCAATGATTTGTGGTCTAATTTGCGCAGCCAATTTGGGCCGAAGGAGAAAGGTCAATTGAATTCTCTAGCAGCAACAGCAGCAGCAGCTCCAAGTCTCCGCCATTTTATCCTCAGGGTGTCTGTAAACATCCTTAAAAAACAAAACTCAAAAACATTGACAGCATCGCCAAGTTCAATTTCTGATTCTGAAATGGACTCTCTTTCCGAAGACAATTCCGCCAACTCTTGTTCTTCCGAGTCTGATGCCGAGATCGAGGTAATCTTCTCGTTACAAACAAGAAAAGAAATCTCCACTCCCTAGGCTTTGTTTTGAAAAATATATTATGTTCTTGTCATTGTAGGAAAACAACAGAGAAGAAGCATTGCTACAAAATGGAAACAGCCCAACACCAAGACAAAAGCAGTCTGTCTTTACTGATGCCACTCGTTAGGTCATATCGAAAAACTTTTAGCAAACAAAAGATTATAAAGACAACAAAACCTTATATACATGACACATAATGAACAAGTTTAAAACGTGACCTCTACACAAGCAAAGATGTTAGAGTAAAAAGCTATAACAGATCAAAGTGGAAGAAACCATCAAGCAAGGTCCTAGGCCGCTAGTTAGTCTTACTTCATTCAAGATAGAAGATTTGTAGTAAAACACGAGTTTCCCTCAAGGTCAGAGTTTTATATCTCTAATCCATCTTACTAGAAAATATACAAATAATTTGCAACAAATTAAAACAAATAGATTATAAAAACATGGGATTAAATTTAAATCAAAAGCTATCATTTGCAGTATTAAGAAATAAAATACAACACATAGCTTGAAAATAAATCATTCAACCATTTCATTAGCAATGTATATAACCTTGTAGCAGCGCCAATAATCATAGGCAGAGCACACAACTGAAAGGCCCTACGACGTCCGACACCATCAGCAACCCAACCACTGAACAATGATCCAATAAAGGCACCACCCAAACATGTACTCACCACCAGACCTAAATTTAACATTTCACGTTAGAGGACTAAGGTCCAGAAGCAAAAGTCCAGAGAAAAAGATAATGGGATAAAATGTCACCTTCATCCAGAGAATTGCCACTGAAACCTAAATCTATAGAGATGCTTTCAAGTGGTTCATTAACTACCCTAGAATGGACAACATGTAAATCATAATCATCTAATCTTGTTCTGAGAAGTATCAAAACAGACAAGTAAAATAAAGAAGATATTAAGATGAATTTCAAGATAGCACACAAACCCAAGGTGGTAGCCAAATAGGAGTGAAGTTATGATTGCCACTACTACATGCGGAAAGGAAAGCAACCATGAAGGATTTGTAGTTTCCATGTCCATGCTGTTCTGTAGGAGAGCTAAACAAACAAAGAAATTAAGTACAAAAATCTTTTAAAGTGACTTGAAAATTCATAATAATTTAGAACTTATTCAAGCAACAAGTTTCCAGGAATTAGATAGTTATCCTAAAACAACTACAATCTTTTAATCTGTTATTCCGATTACTGATAATGGAATGCAAATTTCTGAAGAATGAATTGAAAAGAGAGCCAAAGAACTCAGCAACTGAATTTTTAGTGCTGGAAAATGAAGAAAAACAAATTCCAAAAATCTTTCCATCTCATTAATTTTTCCCCTATAAAGAATTCAAAAAGACAAGGGAACAATACTGTCACACGCATCAGGAAATTAGAACTCTAATGACTACACAAATATGGCTATGCAGAGACCCTCAGCTGGTCTATAATAAATAACTTTACCCGAGTTATCTTCTACATCATCAACTACGGTTGAATGATCTCTTAATGGCATCCTCTTGTAAGTGGAGAATGCTTCACGCTGACGACTCCACATCCCAAACTAGAGCAGCCAGTTCTGACCTTATGTATTTTTGTAAGGACCGTGCTGCCAGATAGCAAATTGAACATAAATTAGCAATTTCATATGAAAAATTAACAGAATTTTCATCTAAAAGCAACTCAGATTCAAGCTCAACACCTTGTTTTTATTGTTTTGCTCAATATATTATAGTTTATTCTAATTATCGACACTCAATCAAGTTCTTGACAATACTACGGAAGTAATAGGAAAGCAGAGCATCTCTAAATCGAACCAAACTAAAACTATAAAATTAAAATAAATCATCAACTTCAATCAATACAAATAAAAACAACATTCTGTAAAAAGAAAAACACAAATAACAGTAGAAACCGTACAAAGAAATGCTAATTAGAAAAAAGAAGGGAATCAACCGAAGAATAACGCTAAACAAGCTAATATCCGATCAAAAAGCTAAAAATTAACTCCACCTTGCTTAAGATGATTTGTCAGATCTGCCGTACGTGATCATCCGAGAATTTCAATGAGACATTTACTGAAAGGTGCCGAAACTTGGCGAAAGAGAGAGAGCTCCCAATATTGCTGTGCGCCGGGAGAGAAGGTTAACGATGAGTGGAGACTGGGGAGAGGAAGGCTTTTTCTTAAGAAACAGAGCACGGCAGTGGTTATTCTCTTCTTTTCTAAAAAAATGGATTGAATTCAAGGCACCAGTAAGTAAGTAGGCGTGTTCACTGTTTGGTTAAAATAGAATTAATTGATTCAACCGAGATTTCAGTTGATTAATTGATCGGTTCATTTTGTCATATTTTTTTTTAAAATTTTAGTTTTGGTCATTTCTATTCAGTATCAATTAATTAATCTAATTAGCTAAAATTATTAAATATTTAATATTATATATATATTATTTAGTTTTAGAAGTATTTGAATTCGGTTTTTTCCGAATAAATCAAAAAAATATTTATTATATATTATTTATAAGTTAACTAATCGATTAATTGAATTTAGTTCGGTTCAGTAATTTTTTTTAAAAAAATTTATATGGTTACCAATTAATGAAAAAAATCTGTTAATAAATTTAAATAATTCGATTCGATCGATTAATTGTATTATCCGTTTGAACACCCCCAATGAGTAAGAAACAAATGTACTAATAGGAATATACTTACGTAAAATCCATTTTTTTAGTTTAATTAAAATTAACTCAATTCTAAAGTGAATTAACTGATTCTTTTGTTGTTAAAATACAGATTGAAGTGTTAAGATCAACGTGATCTAGGAACTCACAATAGAAAATGCGGGGAGTTTGATTTGGTGTGGACACCTGTCTTTGATTGAAAGGTGACAGAATGCTGGAAGAATATGAGGATGGGTAGTCTGGACATTTCCTCTATGGGGAATTTTTTAATTTACACGGTCGCGGAGATGACAGGTGGCGATAGCAAAGAATATCTTGAATTCTTATTGCAGTTGAGGTATATTTGTTGGATTTTTTTTTACAAAAATTATGTGATAAGAAAATTGGTGTTTTAAGAGACTGTGGATGTTAAAATTAGTGTTCTGTTCAAATTAACATGTAATTCCAGCATTTAAAGTTCAGATTCTATGTCAATTGACACCGTATTAATTGGAATCAGCTTCTACTCTAATAGATAGTTCAGAAAAAAATATTAATCATTATCCATTTTTGTGAAGAAATCAAATGATACACAGTTGCAAAGCGCAAATAGGAAATTTTTGTCTATAATACTTGTTAAAATGTCGTCTAGCTTAGCCATCATTTGTCGGTGAATCACATGCGATGCGAGGTCAGATATCAGCTAAATATAAATTAATCACTAAGCTCAGGTGGATATATGCTGACAGGTAGACCATAGATTCTGTTGCTGCATTATAATATGTAGTAACATTTTGTTTTCGCTGGGAATAGTTTGCATTTTTATATAAATTTGTCTCTTCTTCTTTCCCTAATGTTGTGAAGGTCGGTAAAGACTAATGTGTCTCGATTTGGTCGATTTCTTTTGCATTATTTTCACTTTGATTTACAGTTTATTTCACTCAAGAAGAAAAGTTGATCACAGAATTTCTTGAGATGATTTAGCATAAAGAAAAGGATCACCCAACAAAAGAATTCCAGCAAGACATGTAAAATTATACTATATGCATGTCATGGTAATTGGCAGATGGTGAGTGGCAGTGGGCGCAGGAGCAGATTTTGGCAGTAGGTGACTGCTCTTTTTCCAGGGAAAAAAAAGGTTTTGAAAGAAAAATAAAAAAGGTAAGAAACATAAAATCACGGGACTGCAATGGTTTTTTTGTCATCTTTCTATTCTTCCCATTCGTGATCGTGCCCATGGGATTGATATGCGAAAGAGAATCTCTCTTTAACGACTTCAAATTGTTTCTTAGGCAGCTCCTCGTCTTTCTTGTAAAAGACAGCCAAACCCTCTATCTATCTTCTCTCACTTTCAAATTTAAAACCAGAAAAATTGGTTCCTTTCCTCCTCATCTTCACTGGTTTTTAAATTTAACTCAGCTGTCCTATCCTACTAACCAGTGAGTGGGTGACCATCATCATCAATTAGCTCTAATTCTGAAAGACAAGAAAAATGCATGTTTCAGAGATACTTTCTCCTCTGGAGGAAGAAGAAGATTCGGGCCAAGGCTTTCGTTTTGACAAGTCTCTCCAGGTTTACTTCATTTTGCAGGCTGGGTTGGGGGTAGTACTTTTCATTGAACAAAACCACCATGTTAATGCTCTTTTGTTTGTTTGTTTTTTCTCCCTTTTTTTAACTGCTTACAGGAACTGAGAGATTTGCGGTCTCAGCTTCATTACGCCGCTGATTACTGTGAAACAACGTTTTTGAACTCTAAGGAGAAGAGAAGGTAAGTTTTTCTTTATTTCTAAGCATTCCCAGAACCTCAAGCCAAGCTCTTTCATGCTTGTTAAATAATGACTGGTAATTTTCAGTGTGGTGGAAAACACAAGAGAGTACATATGCAAGGCAGTCGTTACCGTTGTTGATCATCTGGGAAACGTCTCTGCTAATCTAAATCACTCCATTTCCGAGACTGATTCATTTTCTGAGGCTGAGCTCCGCATTAATTGCCTCCAACAAGTTTGATATATCATCCTGCTATACTACAATTTTGATTTATGGAATGTTGACACTTGCTTTTCATTTATATACCACTTGTTTGATGTTCTACCAGAGACTTCTCTCGTGCGAGCAATTTGCTCACAAGCTTGCTCTAACCAGAGTCAAATGGAACCCAATTTTGCCAACACATCACCGGCGATATTTATCTGCACGTAGTCACCCGAATCACCTCATGTTTACAATTAGCTATCTTGTTTCCTCCATGCATTACAATTATAATTCTTTATGTTAATCATTTCTTGTTTCTGTTTTTCAAATTACTGATAGCAGCAACAGCAACTGTGGAGAAATCAAAAGAAAACCCAACGTAACTCCAACATTAATTCAACCTTTATATTACCTCAATGAAACGTATATTTATAGACATTGGGTTAATGGGTTTTAACCATTTTCAGGATCTCCATTGCTGCTAGTCCTGCAGAGCTCGTAAACAAGCATGAACTTGACACTGGTGGAGTTCCACTTTTCTCCTTCACTTGTACATACAAGCCTTCACTGTCCAAGAGTCCATCTCTCAAATCTAATTTGGACGAAAGTGATTCTGATTCAACATTGGGTAAGAAAAAAAAATTATCAATCAAAAAGTAGTATCTCATTTAGTTTCCTTCAAGTCCCTGATAGATTGTTTATCTGCATTTTCATGATGGGTTTCATTTCCCAGTACCTGTTCGTGATGGCCTCTCGATACTATCAAAGAGTTCAAATCCTACATTCCATTTCCAGGTGATTTTAATTTTAAACTACATGCTAATGAACATGGTTAGACAATACATCTTCAATGAACAATTCCCACACCTCCGTTTGCATCAAATTAGTTTAATTTAGGTTTGGCCCGGTCGATGGTATGTTTTGCAGCAACGAGATAAAAAACACGGACGCAAAGGCTTGTATAGGAAAGCATTGACGAGTGGTGATATCTTAGCTTTTATTCGACGGACAAGAAGATCAGCTGCTTGATAAAAAAAAGGGCAAAATCTGCGTATTAGTGACTAAATTTCTTGATAAAAAAGGACAAGAAGATCATCATTTGGTGTGTTCGGGATTATGCTGAATATATTACTCGATGCAGGGGGGCCGCTATTGAAGATTTCTTGTAATATATTAATATTTTGTTAATTAATGAATTGATATTTGTAACATCTCAATCTATGGGTTAGTGACTAAATTATAAAAAAATTCAGAACTTGGTGACTAAAGTAGAAGAATGGAATAGTTCAATGATTCATTTGAAATTATTACCTGAAAAAGGTAAGTAATTATTAGATGAAGTGAAGGGCAAAAGGGTCTTTTGTAAGGGGAATAATTAATTAAAGAAATGTTATATTAACCACGTGGAAGGGAAGAGAAATCTACAAGCTTCCAGAGTTCTCTTTCTCTTCTTCTTCCTTCATGCGTGGGAACCCAAAACAAAGGTGAGTTTCTGGTTAGTTAGTTTCTTGTTAAATTTAAGATTGGTTTATGATCATTAGATGATAACTAAGCTTAAGGAAAGCTTAGATTATCTTAAAACCATAAGATGAGGAGTACATGAAGAATAAAAAAAAGGAAGTAGAAAAGTGAAATCTTGGATTAGAGTTCATAATAAGAATTAGAAGTGGGATTTGACTTGTCATCAAGCTAATTAAGGAATAGGAAGTGTTAGAATTAGATTAAGAACATGTTGGAAGTTGAGTGAGATTCTTAAATTCTATATGGAGAATTGGATTTCTAAGTTTTAGAGATATGAAATGCATAATAATTAGTTTAAGTAAGAGTATGCAAGTTAGGGATATAAAAAGAGGGGAAATATAAAGTGTTGAGAAGATTATGAAGATATTTTCGTGCTAAAATAACATTTTTGGGCTATGTGCATCGATGCACATTCAATGTGTACCGATGCATCAAGGATAAATCCCAGAAATGGTTCAAGGTGTATTGATGCACATGAAGTGCATCGATGCACTCCTTTAAAATAAAAACATCGAATGCCATCAGTGTATCGATGCACAAGTACTGCATCGATGCACCCCCTTAAATACAAACATCGAATGGGATTTATGCACCGATGCATAGATAGTGCATCGATGAACCCGTCAAGGGATGCATCGATACATGGTGTAGTGCATCGATGCATACCTTCATTAAAAGATAAAAATAGCTTTCTTTTTAGCCTAAGGAGTGATAGTTTAGAATATATCAATTAGTATACTGATATGTATCAATGTATTACTATGTAGATTTAGAACTTAATCTCGTTCCGAAACAATTGAAGGATTAGAATCGAGTCAAAGCAAGGCTAAGGTGAGTACATATTATAAGTATGGTACAATGGAATAAGACTTGTGATAAATCTAATTCCTATGTTGATTTTCATAGCACAATAGTTATGAACATGCATACATGATAATTATTATGATACATGCATAAAATATATATGTGCATATGATTTGATAAATGATATATGTGAATAGATTCAAATGCACATGTGACATGGTAAGTGATATGAGTTATGTGATCACAAGAGAAATGACATGAATACATGAACATATGAAACATAAGAATAATGCCCATGGTATACGATATGAGAGCTATAGGTATAGTTGGCATGGCAAGAGTCGAGGGTTCTACGTGGTCCTTCGGGACATATATGTATCCTTTGGAACATTTACAGGGTTTTTTGAGACATATTTGATCTACTGAAATATGTATATGGTTCTTAAGGAGTGGTCATTCGGGACAAATATAGTACATAGGTCCTTCGGGACAAATTTCATAGCCCCTAGTGTGACCCATACAAGCTGTGGTGACAACATAGTGCACAACCTCAATGTACTCGAATACCTTGAGTTCTCAAAAATGTACATGGGCCTATAAAAGGTTATCAAAGGTAATTGTATTTTTATAGTTATATGTTACAATATTATTATTGTTTACATTGAATTGTATATGACATGATTGAATGGATAGATTGCATGTTCATATTCATACGGAATGCATTATTATTATATTTATATGTCTCACTAAGTCTATGACTTAGCGTGTAAGTGATTTACACGTAGGTACCAAGAATCAGGAAGAGCGGAAATAGGGTGGTAAGAACAGCATCACTGCTAGAAGATCAGATCAGAAGTAACAGATAAAGTGTGTCTTTTGTCGTGTATAGTGTTGGCATGTAAGAAAAATGTTTGTTACGAATGCTCTGATCAATTTAGTATTTTGTGGTTTCTTTTATGTAAATTAAGGTATTTGGTTTTAATGAAAGTTTAAAATTTCTCTGTTTTCTTTAAGTGTCAAAGTTTGAAAAGTCAATGTGACACCTCAGACTCATATTCGGGTCGGATACGGGTTATGGGTGTTACAATATTGATGACTAAATTATATATATATATATATATATATATATATATAATTTTATTTTTAAATGTAGACTTAATATATTATAAAAATAAATTTTAAAACCACTAAATATTTTAATAATCGAATACCATTCATTCCAAGTAGAAATGGCATACAATTGAAAGGTTACAGGCAAAGGTAGAAGGTAGACCAGAGATTTTATCATAGATTGAAAAGCCCAAATGCATGATCTATTTTTCAGTTATCTAATAATATAAAAAAAGCATTTGGACAATACTTCCTTTATCGAGACATTCTCGCTAACTAATAATGTCATCGTCAAAAGATGATGAATAAAACCAGAAAACTTTCCTTTTTGCAATGATCCATCTTTCCTCTTTTTGTCTTTCTCGTTATTGTCATCATAAAATGTTGAGGATATGGAAATGGTACGAGAGATGCTTATCTATTCATCCTGTGAAAACACAAGTTGTTAGCTCAGGTTTCCTATGGGGCATTGGTGATGTTGGGGCTCAATACATCACCTATTCCACCGCAAAGAAACGCCTCCAACGTCAAGTAAGCACCCAATCCCCTGCAACCCCCATCCTTTTCATTCTTTAATGTTGTTCAATACACAATTTTTTATGTTTTCATTTGGCAGGATGAAGAGCAAGAATGTAAAATTGATTGGAAAAGGGCAGCTACCACAAGTTTGTTTGGATTTGGCTTTGTTGGACCAGTTGGACACTACTGGTTCGTGTTTTTTTCTTCTTGAGAGATGTAATAATGAATAAAAATCATGCCAGGGTTATTATGGTTTAAACTGTTATTACTTTGCTACTCAGGAACAAGAAAAGTATGCTCCTTGCTTACAACCTCTGTTCTGTTTGTACATTTAGGTATGAAGGGTTGGACAGATTAATAAAGTTGAAGTTTCAACTACGACCAAAGACGACCAAGTTTGTTGCTGCCAAAGTAGCCATGGATGGCATTCTCTTTAGCCCCTTTGACTTGTTCTTATTCTTCTCCTATATGGGGCTTTCCACCGGTAAAAGCGTTCCACAAGTGAAGGAAGACGTGAAGAGAGACTTTCTTCCGGCCTTGATCTTGGAGGGTGGTATATGGCAGATTGTTCAGATTGTGAATTTCCAATACATTCCTGTGAGATACCAGCTCCTTTATGTCAACATCTTCTGCTTGTTAGACTGTGCCTTTTTGTCATGGATCGAACAACAGAATGATGCTCCATGGAAACGTCGGTTCGGGGGAGGCCAAGGTAGATGGTGATATTTCTGCCCCATTTTTGTGTTTCCATGAATTTCGCTTTACTCGTCAAGTGTGCTTCCCAATACCCTTGTACTGTTAGAAAGAATTAAACGAAACAACCCCTAAAATGCCAACTAGGGTTTTAGATATTGGGATTTTGGGAGGGATTCATCTTTGTTAAAGCTTTCTACATTCAACCAAAACGTAAATATAATACAATTATATGTACGTACAAACTTTGTCAGAATTCATATAGAAATTTACATACCTGCAAAACCAATGTAATAAATTTAGACAGGCATCCTGGATCCACCACTTGGTGTCTAAGAATTCATAAACAGACCATTCATATCTGCTCTGGGTGAACACATAATTTCATTACAATTTCAGCTTACAGGAATGCATGTTACAAGTATAGAAATAAAGAATGGTTGAATGTGAGAGTAATGTCCGTATATGCTAAAGACCCATAAGTCTGGTCCCCAGCAGTAGTGGTATATGATCCAATTGTGAGAGGAGCAAAGCAACCACAGAATGGGCGGTTTAGAGTTTATAATGGTATGATATGTGAGTTGCATAATCACAGGCATCAAACTTGACTCGTATATAAATGTAGTCTTTGATGGTGAAGTCTCATGTGCCCGGTAATGTGCTGCTGGTGCTAGAAAGAATGATGAAAGCACAAACAACTGAAAGTGAGAACACTGACAGCCAATTGTTTTGTGTGTATATTTCCATTGCATCTGTAAATGAGAACCGAGTACGGTCTTCAGCCCAGTTCCTAATACGGTCTGCCTCTGCCGAATATAGTGCCCTACCCTGAACACACGCATTATTGCATTAGAATCAAAATTTGGAAAAATAGGAAATAGGAAATATTTGATTACCTCTTCATCAAACCAGCGACCTTGTCGAAGCCAGACAGTTATTGTTAGAGTATGCCCAAAGATCAATCATATGATGATTGTAATAATACTTTTATTTACCGATTTTATTGAATAAAGGCATTGTCGCTATTATTTTCAGTTATATATATGTGTTTAACATAAACTGGAAGATAATAAAGTCCATATAATGACATAATTGTTATTATTAAAAGATCCCTAGTCAAATATTATTATGGGCATGGACAATAATAATACGCTTAAGACTAACATGTTATTGATTGATGACAATGAGTTATCATTGACATAGAGATGTCAGAATTGATACATGATTATATTGTTAGAGAACAATGTATTAGATTGACCCACCATGAGCATATGTCTTGGATTATTATGTGACAGTCATAACATTGCTCATGGTGATGACTATATGTATGATCCTCAGACTTGAGATCAATACTATCCCAATATATATTGTTGTATGTTTTGATGCAGCTAAACAAGCTCCGTAACTGGTTGCTCTATAAAGACTGTTATTAAATATATCTCAATATATATAGTGGGTATGTATGATTAAGATAGGATATGTCCTTCCTACATAATAGGAAATATATCACATGCCACTTGATTTAGTAAGACTAGAAACGCATGGCCATGCTCGAATAAGTTGATATGAGATATCATAAACTATTCGTTAATTAAAGTCTACTCTAGAAATCAAGAAACAATAGATGGGCTATACAAGTGTGACTATTCCAAGACTTGTGTCTATTCTAGATATAAAGGACATAAGGATATAATACATAAAAGAGTTAATCACCAATATGATATGTCGAATCATATTTTCTTGTAACTTAGGTGACAATGATATATTGCTAGATGTCACTCATTGTATGTAATATTAGAATTGTTCTAATAATTACTTCTAATGTTATAAGAACCTACAGGGTCACACCCTAAGATTGAAACGAACAAAGATGTACAATTTGTTGTACGTTACTAAAATATATCTAGAGTTAATTAAGTATATATTTTAATAATCCCGAATATTTAATTTCAATTCATTAAATATAGATTTAATTAATTTGAAATAATAAAAACCCTAATATGACTAGGGTAACTTGGCTATAAAAGGGTGTGTTAGGTCTAGCAGCCGTTTTGGTGAGAACACACACAAAACCTTCAGCCACTTTCTCTCAAAACTGTTTTGGGGGAAAATAAAATTGCTCTCAATCGGGTGAACTGAGTAGAGGCCGAGACGTGATTTCGTGGAGGCTTACGATTCGAATCGATCTACACCACCAGAATTCACTGCTTTCCTTGCTGTTTTTCAAGGAACCCGCTGTAAGTATTCGCATCTATTCCTCTCGATTTCAGTTTTTCGTACTTGGATCGTTGGTGAGACCGTCGAGTTTTGTTTCCGCTGCGCCATGGGGTGCGCCGACGGTCCCAACAGTTATTAAAGCCAATAGTATCCGAGGTGGGGTGAAGTAATTGATGGTCTTTCCTGTCCCCTTCACAACCCGCATACGTGGAACTAGACTTCTAGCAACAGTCTCAGGGAGCTCACAAATGATGTTAAACATTTGTTTGTTCTTTAATGTTGAGCCACTGTGGAGAAGCAAATCAAATATTTGACATCACATTTATCAAATACTAGTCCCAAATTACGAATTGGATCCTTAATTTTGCAACCTCTCAAGATGATGAGCTGAGCAAGCCGATTAAGGTGCATAAAACAGGCTGCCTCACGAAAGTTGGGACATAAGCAACATACCTTAAGAGTAGATATGTAAGGACCATGCCCGGAGATGCCGTATGGATTCCTACTTTAGAACGTTTGCACTCCTTCAAAAGTGATGCATGAAGCTGTCTAAGACCACACTTGGTTGACCCATATCTAGAAAAGAGAGCATATATCAGTATTAACCATTGAAAACTTCAAAACATTACAGAAATTTGAGATACGTCAATAAGTAGCCGCCTTGAGAAAAAGAACCAACTGCAGTGACAAAGATGAGAACCTAAACAGCGGTCAAAGGAGTACTAGATCCACCAGAACCTGCACCATCCATGTTAAATATGTGTCCTGTTGAAAATTGGCACACCAAATTGCATCAATTGTCAACATTATGGGTGGCAATTTAGTGGCATTAATGGGGTGACAAAATTGGTCAAATTTGGCCACCAAATTATTGAAAATTTTGGATGGTAAAACTATGCAATTAGTCATTATAATTTAGGATATTTACAAATTAGTCCTTAAAGCTTCAACTATAAATACCCTAGCTCATTTAGCTTCAAAATCATCCCAAAGCATTCTAGCTTTCTTCCACTACTAGAGAGAATTTAGAGAGTTTCTTGAGAGTTGTTTTCTCATTTTTATCAAGAGAGAATTATCATTGTTTTCTCCTTAGTAGATTGAGAGAAGTTGTAATTCCTATTTTCTCATAGTGAAATTCTTCTACCGTTGCCCGTGGTTTTTACCCTATTTAATTTAGGGGTTTTCCACGTAAATTTTGTGTCTCTTTTTATCTTCATTTTTATTTTCTCAAATTATCAGTTGCGATTTTTCTCTATCCGATAGCCGTATTCCGCAACAATTGGTATCCGAGCTAAATTAGAGTGTGTAATATATGCTTATTGTCTTTGTGGTTGCCACCAAAAGGTGGATCCTCCAAAATAAGAAAATAAGAAGTTATTACCCATTCTTTGAAGGTTCCAGAGAACTATTCACGATAGTGAAATAGTGGGAGCTATCCGTAGAAGAAGCTATGGCAACGAAATTTGATATTGAAAAATTCAATGGGAGAAATTTCTCATTGTGGAAATTGAAGATGAAGGTCATCCTAAGGAAAGACGGGTGTCTAGCAGCTATCAATGAAAGGCCGGTAGATTTCGCAGATGACATCAAATGGAACGAGATGGACGGGAATGCTATGGCAAACTTTCATCTAGCATTAGCAGATGAAGTATTGTCAAGCATCGAGGAGAAGAAGACAGCTAAGGAGATATGGGATCATCTCACCAAATTGTACGAGGCCACATCGCTGCACAATAAAATTTTCCTTAAGAGGAAATTGTACACTCTCCGTATGCCAGAATCTACTTCAGTGACAGAGCACTTAAATACACCGAACACCTTATTTTCTCAGCTTACATCCTTAAGCTGTAAAATAGGAGAACAAGAACGTGCTGAACTTCTACTTCAAAGTCTACCGGATTCGTACGATCAACTCATCAACTTGACAAACAGTAATGTCACCAGTCTAGTCTTCGATGACGTTGCAGCTGTTGTTCTATAATAAGAAAATCGGTGCAAGAACAAGGAAGACAAACAAGTAAATCTGCAACAAGCAGAAGCGTTGACAACGATGAGAGGTAGATCAACAGAACGTGGCCAAAGCAGCAATCATAAACATGGTAGATCAAAGGCGAGGAGCAAGAAGAATTTAAAGTGCTATAACTGTGGAAAGAATGGTCACTTGAAGAAGGATTGTTGGAGTCTAAATAAAAACTCCAATCCACAAGGCAATACCGCAAACACTTCAGATGATGGAGATGCTCTATACTGTGAAGCGTCAACCACCGTGGAAGGCAGAAAAAGATTTGCAGATATATGGCTCATTGATTCGGGAGCGACATATCACATGACCTCAAGAAGAGAATGGTCCCATCATTATGAACCTGTCTTAGGAGGATCTGTGTATAGTTGCAATGATCATGCCTTAGAGATCGTTGGTGTGGGAACCATCAAATTGAAGATGTATGATGGAACAATTAAAGTTTTTCGAGATGTGCGGCACGTGAAAGGTCTGAAGAAAAATTTATTATCCTACGGATTGTTGGATAATAATGCTAGCAAGATTGAAACACGGAAAGGAATCATGAAGGTGTTCCGTGGAGCGCTTGTGGTGCTGAAAGGTGAAAAGATAGCTGCAAACTTGTACATACTGAAGGGAAAGACATTGTTAGAAGCAGAAGCCTCTGTTGCCTCATGTAGTTCAGATTCTGCAATGCTATGGCATAAGAAACTTGGACAAATGTCAGAACAAGGAATGAAAGTCCTTGTGGAGCAAAAGCTACTTCCAGGCTTAACAAAAGTATCACTTACTTTGTGTGAGCATTGCATAACAAGTAAGCAGCACCGGTTGAAATTCAACACATCAAATTCTAGAGGAAAAAGTGTTCTAGAATTGCTTCACTCTGACGTATGGCAAGCACCAGTAACATCCCTATGTGGAGCAAAATACTTTGTCCCATTTATTGATGACTACTTCAGGAGATGTTGGGTGCACCCTATTAATAAGAAGTCAGAAGTGTTTTCAACTTTCAAAAACTTCAAAGCGCGGGTGGAACTTGATTCTGGAAATAAGATCAAGTGTTTCAGAACAGATAATGGAGGAGAATACACAAGCGAAGAATTTGATGACTTTTGCAAGAAATAAGGCATCAAAAGACATTTCACAGTGGCGAACACTCCTCAACAAAATGGAGTGGCAGAGCGGATTAACAGAACCTTGTTAGAAAGAACAAGAGCAATGTTGAGGGACGCAGGCCTAGAAAAATCATTCTGGGCAGAAGCAGTCAATACCGCCTGTTATTTGGTGAATCGAGCTCCATCAACTGCAATAGAGCTGAAGACACCAATGGAGATGTGGACTGGTAAACCAGTTGATTATTCAAACCTCCATGTATTTGGAAGTATTGTGTACATGGTGTACAACGCCCAAGAAATTTCAAAGTTGGATCCAAAATCCAGGAAATGCAAATTCTTGGGGTATGCTGATGGAGTAAAGGGGTATCGTTTGTGGGATCCCACTGCCCGCAAAGTGATCATTAGCATGGATGTTATCTTTGTAGAAGATAAACTACAAAGAAAAGAAGACGATGATAGCGCTGAAAAGTCAGAGACTACTCAGATACATGTGGAAAAAGAGTTTGAAGAAGGAGATTCTTCTGAAGCAGAACCAGCACATGATGAACAAGAACCAGAGAGTTCTGAAGCTCCAACAACTCGTCAATCAGATCGTGTGAGAAGACGTCCCAATTGGCACTCAGATTATGTTATAGAAGGTAATATTGCATACTGCCTTTTAACTGAAGACGGTGAGCCATCAACATACCAGGAGGTAATAAACAGCTCAGATGCTTCACTGTGGATGATGGCGATGCAAGAAGAAATCGAAGCCCTTCATAAAAATAATACATGGGACCTTGTGCCACTACCACAAGGAAGGAAGCCAATTGGTAACAAATGGGTCTTCAAAATCAAGCGAAATGGTGACGATCAAGTGGAGAGGTATCGTGCAAGACTGGTGGTCAAATGATATGCTCAGAAAGAAGATATTGATTTCAATGAAATTTTTTCTCCTGTGGTTCGACTAACAACAGTTCGAGTAGTCTTGACAATGTGTGCTACATTGAATTTACATTTGGAACAACTAGATGTTAAAACAGCTTTTCTTCATGAAAATCTTGAAGAAGAAATTTATATGCTCCAGCCTGAAGGTTTTAAAGAAAAAGAAAAGAAGAACTTGGTTTGCAGGTTGAACAAATCTCTGTATGGTCTAAAGCAGGCGCCGAGGTGTTGGTATAAGAGATTTGATTCCTTCATTATGTGCCTTGGATACAACAAACTTAATACAGACCCTTATGCTTATTTCAAGAGGTCTGGTGATAACGATTTTGTTATATTGCTGTTGTATGTGGATGACATGTTGGTTGCAAGACCCAACAAAGATCATATTGAATAATTGAAGGCACAACTGGCTAGGGAATTTGAAATGAAGGACTTGGGATCAGCAAACAAGATTCTAGGGATGCAAATTCACCGAGACAGAAGTAATAGGAAGATTTGGCTTTCACAAAAGAATTACATGAAGAAAATCTTGTCACGATTTAGCATGCAAGATTGTAAGCCAATTTATACCCCTCTTCCTTTTAACTTCAAATTATCCTCCAGTATGAGTCCTAGCAGTGAAGAATAGAGGACTGAGATGTCTTGAGTACCGTATGCATTAGCAGTGGGAAGTTTAATGTTCGCTATGATATGCACAAGACCAGACATTGCACAAGCAGTGGGAGTGGTTAGTCGGTACATGGCGAATCTAAGCAAAGAGCATTGGAATATTATAAAGATGATCCTAAGATACATCAAAGGGACCTCAAATGTTGCATTATGTTACGGAGGATCAAACTTACTAATCAATGGGTATGTAGATTCTAACTATGTAGGGGATTTGGATAAAAGCAAATCTACTACAGGATATGTGTTCAAAGTTGCTGGTGGAGCTGTAAGCTGGGTTTCAAAATTGCAGTCAGTTGTGGCTACGTCCACAATAGAGGCAAAATATATAGCAACTACACAAGCCAGTAAAGAAGCAATTTGGTTGAAGATGATATTGGAGGAGCTTGGGCACAATCAAGAGTATGTCACTCTGTTTTGTGACAGTCAAAGCGCCTTGCATCTGGCAAGGAATCCAGCATTTCATTCAAGGACTAAGCACATACGAGTTCAGTACCATGTCATTCGTGAAAAGGTGGAAGAAGGAACGGTAGATATGCAGAAGATCCATACCAATGAAAACATAGCAGATTTCATGACGAAGGCAATCAATGCTGATAAATTTACCTGGTGTCGATCCTCCTGTGGCCTGTCAGAAACGTAAGCAACATGAAAGGTACAAGGTAAAAAGAATGGTGTGAAGATATGATTGTTCCAATCAAATCTTCAAGTGGGAGATTGTTGAAAATTGACACACCAAATTGCATCAATTGTCAACATTATGGGTGGCAATTTAGTGGCATTAATGGGGTGACAAAATTGGTCAAATTTGACCACCAAATTGTTGAAAATTTTGGATGGTAAAACTATGCAATTAGTCATTGTAATTTAGGGTATTTACAAATTAGTCCTTAAAGCTTCAACTATAAATATCTTAACTCATTTAGCTTCAAAACCATCCCAAAGCATTCTATCTTTCTTCCACTACTAGAGAGAATTTAGAAAGTTTCTTGAGAATTGTTTTCTTCTTTTTATCAAGAGAGAATTATCATTGTTTTCTCCTTAGTAGATTGAGAGAAGTTGTAATTTCTATTTTCTCATAGTGAAATTCTTCTACCGTTGCCCGTGGTTTTTACCCTATTTAATTTAGGAGTTTTTCACGTAAATTTTGTGTCTCTTTTTATCTTCATTTTTATTTTCTCAAATTATCAGTTGCGATTTTGCCGATAACCGTTTTCCGCAGCATGTCCCCCCTTGGTCTGGTTTTTCATGATACGCATGGCTTCCCGAGTACAGAGAATAGAACCGACAAGATTCGCTGAAACAATCTATCCACATAAATCAGCTGGTCAGAGACACTACACTGTCATCATGTTAACCATAATCTAAAAGCCATTTCAGCAACTATATATCGGAGTTTGTGCATATGAATTAAATATCTGTGTTACATCAACGAATTAAGGTGAGAGAAAATCAATTACTAGTTGGCCATTGGCTCTTGCTTAGTTGTGTAAAAGAAACTAGTTACATGCAGAAGCTATTAAGGCAATGATAAATGTAACTATGTAAGGAACTGATAATTCAATATCCTATCTAGTATGAAGCTTACAAGTTTGTAATAAGATTACGCGTCATTGAAATGCTAAAAGGTGGAATTGCTCAAATAACATATTTAACAAACAAAAGAAACCTGTTTAATATCTTCATCACTGAACTGTAGTAATGGTCTAAAACCTTTGTTAGTGCCAGCGTTATTTATCTGTAGAAGAAACAAGAAATCAGAATCACACATTTAGCACACAAGTAAATGTTCTTTGTCCAACCCCAACAAATAGGAACTACATGGCAGCTACTCGGACACACAACGATTGCATTAGACATCATCAATCGTCTCATGCCATGCAAAATTATCATAAGCTCAGCAATAACAAAATAGGAAATGGCCATTTGCGATGACCTATTTACTTGCAGGACGTAGATTTCAGTTTAACAATATTCGTATGCACGAACTTATCACACATCTTATGGTTAAGAGTCAACATTAATTGATAAAGTCGTGTGATAAAGTATTGACATGCTAACATGACACGCTATAGGATCTAGGTTGCATGCATGCGTTCACATAGATGCAAGGAAATTGATGGAAAAAATATGCTATACAACTCACCCAAATGTCAACAGAACCAAGTTCGGTGATGGCAAAGTAGGCCAATTTTTCAACATCACCGGCTTCACAAACATCACATGCTTTGCCAACCACTTTTGCTTGTTCCAGATTCTTGCTAGATGAGCCACCAGCGACCATACCTTCCTTCAGGTTTTCCTCAAGTACTTTGACAGTCATATCAACAGATTCAGGACTGTCTTGACAAGATCCAAGAAGGAAAAGTTGATGCGAGAACTATACCGATAAAAATAAAAATAACTCAACATAAAAATGTCATAAACTAGCTTAATTATGACTTTTTACTCGACCTGCGAGAAGCAACAACAACACGATCTCCCGAAAGAAGAAATTCTCGAGCAAGTGCTTTTCCCAATCCCCTTGTGCTAAATAAGGTCAGCCAAAAACACAACCAAAACCCAACAAAATGGGTAAGTTCTCTGCATCATAGCAACTTATCTCCTAAAAGTTCGTTTCTATGTAACCAAATATGATCTCGCATAGCCAGTAAAGATACTAAAATCAAACATGATGAGGAAATTATATGTCATACCTTCCAGTTATAACAACATTTCTCGGACCAGCCCGACAGTGTTCATCTAGAACCATATTAGCTCCAATCATGGTTCCAATGATAATCCCTCCAACCCAGCTGTACCAATTCAATGCATTCATCTGACTGTCTCCACCTGTAGGGAAAAAATGAACTTTCAGAGACATGTCATTCCCTGGAGAAAGGCAGAGAAAATCAATTCAAAAATCTAAAAGTACAGTGGCTTTAACCTGACAACTGAAAACCAGTCAAGAGAATCACTCCAGTGCTCATCATGGTCACAATATATCTTCCTAGTTGCATAGCAATCTAGTTTATGAGGGAGAAAAACCCAAAGGTTATATCTACTTTTGACTGATAGCTTGGAAATATTACAACAAGCTGGGTAACTCAGATCAATCAATGGTAGACAGACACAAGAAGATGGGAATTCAGTTAAACATGCATGCATAAACTCAATTATGAAACTAATTATAGAACATAATTAAAACTAATTGAACATGAATCATAAAAAGAAGAAGAGAAATTCATTTAATAAAATACGGTTTCTAATTACATATAGCTCACCGAGGAGAAAACTTCATCAACTTTAGCTACGGCATTTTCATATTCATCTTGCGATTTAGAGTCGAATTTACTAACCCCGAAAACAGCATATTTCAAAGATTTCCAAAACCCATCTCTCTTTTGCAGCTTCACTTCATTTTCCATCAAAATCCCAAGCTTCCTCTCACTTTCCATCTCTTTCTCTTCCACTTTCCCGCCATCTTCTCCCCTAAACAACCGACACTTTTGCACGTACGCTCCATGACGGCTTCTAGTTGGACCGGGCAACCGCACAAAACAACCACTTTTAACTTTAAGCCAGCTGTTCCGTTGTTGTTCCTTGAAACAAAACTGTTGGTCTTTCTGGAAAGAGAACAACTGAAGCTTTGTCACTGCCGCCATTTCTGTAAGAGATTCGAACTAAAAGAAATTGAATATTTCAATTCCAATTTTACTGGAACACGATCTCCTTATTATCCAATACATCAGATTCTTTTACTTTATGTAATAAACAAATAAATATCGGGGAGAAGTTGAAGCGAATCGTCTAACGTGGAGGAATGTGATGACCACACGTTAAAGCAACGTAATCTGCTGCACTTTTGGACGAAACGTGGCGTTGTGGGTCGGGGTTTGCCTGTCGTTTTGCAACACGTTAGGTAGCCATGGAAAGAGGAAGGTGACGCTTCTACGCTTTGTGTCGTAGGCTTTTGGTGTTGGGTACTCAACTCAATACGTTGAATATTACGTATTATGTACTCCAAATAGTAACCAATAACGACCCGCAACGGGAACTGGGACTACTTTTGGTTTTGTCGGTGGGATGAGGAATTGAGGATAACTACGAAAATTAACACGATGGACAAAAACAACCAAGTTTATCCCAAAGGAATAATCAACTACCGAATTTATCAAACTACCGAATTCTCAAGCTCAGAGGGTAAAAAAGAAGAAGCAAAAGCCTAGTTCTGCACGCGGAAGACGATTTTATCAAACTTAAAGGGTCTTGATGTAACCATTCGTTCTCATGGTAGAAAGTTTTAGGCCGAAAATTACAAGAACATGAAATTTTCCTTTTCGGTAGAAACTAGAATGTTTTAGCCTATGACATAGCCGGCGGTTATATAATAGGGTAAACTACCCACTATTAAAAAAATTAATGTTAAGTTACGAAATAAATTAAAAGTTTATATATTAAAACGGATTGAATTGATAGTTTGGGTATTAAACGTATTAAGTTTATAATGGTAAGGTATTAAAATGAAACAAAAACTAAACATTATGTATGATTTTGAAAAAAAATTAAAAAATATAAATACTAAAACGAATCAAAATTAATAGTTTAAATACTAAATGCGTAGTTTATCCTATATAATATTGCAACCAAAGTGCCCCAAGGCTGCTTTTCTGGAAAGTTTGAATAGACTTTTGATAATATGGGCTGGCAATCATGCTGAAGCTAAAAGCTTTAGGCTAGCCCTTTTGGGTGATGCTAGGGACCATGGATAAATTTGTGTTAGCCCTTTAACCTTAGCTAAGCCCATCCTACGTTTTTTGTCCATCTCTGGAGTCCTCTTCTGTTTAGCATCGAAATTGGAATACTCCATAATCAAGGATAGCTTGATGGAGTTGTTCGAAACTTGATGTTAAAACTTAAGCAGAGAGAATAGCTAGTTGACAATATCCTGCACTTAGTTTTATTCTCCATTTATCCTGGATAGGAACAGCCTAAGCTAAATCTCCTCCAGTTTGCGCAGCACAATAACCGTGAACATCATCCAACAAAGCAGCAGCCCATAGATATGTCCATGAGACATTGACAGATGAGCGAAATCGATAAATATTTGATTCACTGATTACATATTATATTATTTATCTTAAATAAATTAAATAATAATATAATTAAAAAATAAATTTAGTTTTAAAATTGAATGATATAACTCATACATACAACGCGGACAAATACACCTAATCTCACTGCAACTTCCCTTTTGTCATTCAACCATATGACTAGTTTATTGATGATATAAAAAGTTATATATGTAGTACATCAAATCTTATTTCTTTTGTATGCTTCGAACACTTGAAAATTTTGCTTTGTAAAACTTAGTTTTACGAAGTATATGGTAGTTCCATTCACGATTAAGAATGATTAGAAAGATAGGACGCGTGTCACGTATAAATGAGCGACCGATGGTTGAAATTATGCACTGACTTTGACATATCTCTTCTTTAATTGAAGTAGCTGGATGATTGAAGCAGTGCATGATAATTATCAATTCCAGTTAGGGTAGAAAGGAACTGTTGATGATGCCACGAGAGCATGAAATACAAAAATGAAGAGAGGAAACTGCAGCCTATGACTTTTGAGAACCCCGTAACATGTGGAGCGAGAAAGATCGATCGACGGTGGTCCCTTCAGAATCGCCGAATCACAAAATTCCTACACTCCTTGGCTACTTATACAATGTATATATAATCATTTTGTATATATCAAAACTAAGTTTATTAGTTAGTTGTGTAAAATAATTTTATAAAACAAATGAGAATTTATTTTAAAAAAGGATTAATATGTTACACGTAAGCTCTAAGAGAGAGTGCTTTTTTGAATCATAATAATGGGAAATGGTCCAAAGGGTTGAAAAAACAGAAAAAAGAGAGATAGAATAGGAATAAATTGAAAGGACCAGGAGCAATAAAGGCAGTAAATCCATCATTATAGTAATTAGTTATGGATGGTCCAAATCCAGGGGTGTGCATGTGCACCATGTGTAACTTAGGCTGGGGAGAGCCGTACCCGGCCGGCTTCTACTTGTTCGTCCCCGCGGCCATCACATGCCCTCTGGACCATCTCTACCATGTCCCTGTCCATCATCTTCCAACCCCAAACGCCTACCTACCTAGCTTCAAATATTACCTTCTCAAGCCTTCACCGATATCTTGTAATATATTAGTGGGAGAGTAGGGCAATTGGCAATGGATAAAGCAAAAGGAAAGAAAAAAGATAATGCTTTTCATTTGAAAATGCAACTTTGAGTTTGGATGGTATATTTAATAAAAACAAAAGGGAAGACACAAGAGTCGGCAGAGAGAATGGGTTAAGATGGAATTACTGGGGAGGAGGGTTTAAATTTGCACGGGCCAGGCAATAATTACTAGGACAATTCAGATGGTCCTAAGCTGGATTTTACAAGTATTGATGTTGATAATGATTATTAGGACCGAGTTTGAAAATCAGTTAAAAGGTGAAAGGAATAAAGAAAGTAACATTAACCAGAATATTCGTTACTTACGGCACGGCAGAGCCAGCTCTTGAGTTAACTCGGATAAGCGACCTTTTAAAAACACTAGTCAAAGGCAACTCACCAGAAGAGCGCTTCGCTACTCCTTTAGGGGATCTCTAAGAAGCAGCATCTGTATCATTCTTCCACCCCCTCGGTAGACTAGAGACGCTCACTGCTCCGGCTACGGAAAGGAAGACAGCGGATCTGCGACTAAGAGGAGTCCTTATCCTCTCAGCAGCTGATAGCAGCGGCACCGGACTAGGGCATGAGAGAAGGAAAATATAATTAATCATAAAAAAATAAGAGTAAAACTAAAATAAGTTAAAATTAAAATTTTTAATTTAATATTTCTTTCATATATTATTTTAATAATAAAATAATTCGGGGAGGCAATGACTTTCGAGTTAAAGCATAGTTTTCATCCCTGATGATGATGCTATCCCATTCTGTTTACTCTTTGAACCCTAACGAACAAATCGTTGTCAAAGCATTTCATACTCTCTTGTAAAATAATAATTTAGCCATTTAAATAAAATATTGTTATAAACAAATCACTAATGGTTACACTAGACGAAATAGTAACTTGGTCATAATAATAATTTTAATCCAAAAATTCATATATTATATCAAATTGATCATAATTTAAAAAATTCAATTGAACATTTATATTTAAAAGTTCCATCAACATTACTTTCATGGTATACTATAAATTTAAGAGCAACTTGTTGCTACTTTATGATAGAATGCAATAATCCACTTGGTTTAAAAGTATTGTCAAAAGGGACTAAATTGATGGAAATTTTAAACATAAAGTGTAAATTTATTGAATTATTTTCTATTAGGACCAATTTTATAGAATGTATAAGTTTTAGGGACTAAAATTATTATTATTAAGTCATACTATATTAGACACTTATTTCAATTTTGACTATATAATAATATTTTAGTTAAATAATTAAATTATAACTTTTACAAAAATAATAACTCGTTTATAATCCAACTAATAACAAAATTACCAAAAATATATTTTTATCCTATAATCAAATCTAGCTAAATAATGAACAGTAAAATTAAGCGTTAGTCATAGTCAATATTGATTGAAGCAGCCATCAACATGGGGTTGAAGGGCACAGCCAGCGCAACCCTTAATAGTGCAGTACAAATGTTACATCCATCCCTCTCATTAGCTGAAAAGACTAACAAATCAGACATGACTCTTTGTCTTACATCTTCTCCAAATTTCAGGTATGACTACGACTGCCCCTTTTCTTAATTATTCTTATTTAGAAAAATATATATATATATATATATATATATAAATTCAGCAGAGACCCCAGCCAAGAGTTTGACAGGGAACAGGCTCTGGTGGAGATTGCCTGGGCTGTGCATCAGATAATGGGTGGTCCTGCTTTATTATTATACACCAAACCTCACCATTATTTTGATTAATTAGCTCTGATCTAATGAAAATGGGTCAGCATGTGCTCAAGGTAAACACCTGAATCTCCACTTTCCATCTACATGGGACCTTTACACCATCTTAAAAGAGTTTTCCTTTTAATATACACTGAAGCTTTGTTATTAGCATTTGTTTTCAGCTAAAGAAGATATATTATATATTGTGTATCTAAAGTGGTCCATTTTTAGAATCATGACTATTCATTCAATTATTGTATTCATTTAGTACAAATCATTGGTGTGGTACCCAAAACTATGATAAATGTGGGATTATCGCTCCTCTATTTTAATGGGGGAAAATAATACCATTCAAGAAAATAACACATTCTTCTTCTCCACCTAAAACTTGAATGCAAAGCATTTATCTAACTCTTGAAAAGAGATATCCAATAGGCTGCGACAAATTTCCTTCAAATCTTAGCAAATTCTATTTAGTCGAGAAAGACACATGAATTAGATTAAAGAGTGAGCGGCTGAATATAATATGGCAATAGACTTGGGGTTTCGGGTTTCCATTGGAGCTCAATATCTTGAGCGATCAATTTGGCATCCAAGGAGGTACCAAGCAAACCACGCTTTGTAAACCCTACAGCGTACAGCCCACGTTCACCTTTCCACCCTCTTGGGAATGCCTCCCGAGGCATTCCATCTTCCTCTGAAAACAAATCTCCCCCCTAATCAGTGCAAAATGTTCAAGTCAACACTCTAAAAACATAAAATTTGAAAATTCAA